TGCATTCCGAGTAGAATCCCTAAACGATAAAAAAGTAATATAAAGTACAATCCAGAATTAGCTGACTGGTCCTCATGAAAATTCTAACTAGTAGACTGCATGTGATGATCTTAAGTTCTGCTTCACATATATTTCTAAGTTCGAAATAGCTATAAGAAATTTGATGCCTTTTCGTCTTGTTGGAAATGTATATGCTCATGTTTTTTAATGTATTTCGATGTGGTTATGGGCAGGTTAACATGAATGAGAAAGATTATCAAAGAAAAAAGAACAAATTTCTTCCAAAGATACATGCTTGGTACATGCCATCTTACTCTTATATTTATTGTAGTCTGGTGCTTGTTTCTTACAAGCTAACACTGCTGGTATATGGATGACTAGAAAATTGTTGCTTAATATATAGACGTGGTATCTCATTATGGGAGTGTTTGACACCCATTTTAATGGGTTGAAAAATTTTGGAATAGTGATTGATGGGAGAATATGTGATGAAAAAGTGATGAAAATTTTTAGATTTTTGTGTAATATTATTTTATTTGAAGATTGTGTGGTTGAAATGAAAAAAGAGAATGAGAATGAAAAAGAGAATGGGTGCCAAACAGGGGCTATATATGGTTTTTAGAGAAATTATTTTTGAAATTGCGGAATAGGTTTACTTTGGCATGTTTCTCCTATTCATCCAAGAACTCAATATCTATATGCAATTTGTCGTTAATAATATCCTCTCCCCCACCCACCCCCAACCCCTTGATTTTCTACTTCCCGTTGAGCACGAGATTTCAAAGAATGCACCCTTATATTTAGCCCCTGTTTAGTGGGGTTTCAGATTTTTAGTAGATTTTAATAGAAGTTGATAAAATATGTGGGTCCCAAGTAATGTGTGATGAAGAGGGTGTTTGGTGGGAATTAAAATTAGATTTTTAGTAGATTGTGATAGAAAATTTTGAAATGTGTGGTTGAAAAGATGTGGGACTCATGAAATATGTAGTTAATATTGATTGTTTGACTTTGACTTAGATTAAAATCAGATTTTAATTCGGTCCAAGCAGGCCGTAAAATTATTTGTTGACTTTGATTGAGATTAAAATTTGGATTTTACTTTTCACCAAACAGGGGCTTAATTTCACTTTTTATAGAAAACAACAGAAGCTCTTAAACCAGAAAAATGTTTCTTTCCTCTTGCAAGCATCCTCCTACCTCCATTGGAAGTTTTTAAAACCCTAGCCATTTCCTTCAAAATTTTCTAGGGTGCAGGAGCATGGTGGTGAAACAATAATCCCTTTCAGCTGTGCTTTAGAGAGAAATCTTGCTGACATGCCCCCAGATGAAGCTGGCAAATATTGCGAGGAGAACAAAGTACAAAGGTGGATTCAGAGTGTGCTAATAAAGAAGTTGTATAATTTGAAGTAACTCAACTGACATCAGTTTGTTTTGCTACAGTGCGCTTCCGAAGATCATAAAGACTGGATTCTCAGCCATTAACCTCATATACTTCTTCACGGCAGGACCAGATGAGGTATTTCAAATACATGAATGTTTTGTCTTGCCATTTCCGTTTTTTGCTTGTACACATTTCTAGTAAGTTTACTGAAACCAATTTTAACTATAATACTACTTTGTGTTACCTATCCTCGTGTCACTTGGCAAAGAGTTGAAGGCTTTGCTTATCCTTGCTTTGTTCTATTTCCTTTTCTTTAGATGTAATTCGTGATCTTTGCTAAGTATTATGTTGTTACATATATCATAAGTGATGTGCTCTTTTTTGTTTCTGGTATTGCAAGATGCACTTCTTTTTCTTTATGTTAATCAGCTACCTGGACCTTATTTCTAGTTTATTTCATAGTTTCCTTCCCATTTTATAATTTGTTTGAATGTACAATTGACATTTACTAGCATTTTTTTATGCTGTGTGACAATGAATATGGTTTCACACAGGTGAAGTGCTGGCAAATTCGTCGACAGACAAAAGCTCCTCAAGCTGCAGGGACAATTCATACTGATTTTGAAAGAGGGTTCATTTGTGCCGAGGTTTTTTTTAAAACTTCACTTTTTATTAAGAATCGCTATCATGACTTGATATTTCTGTTTTGGTTCTGTCCTTTTCTTTTCAATTCAGCATTAGCGCAGTGCACGTGCTCTGCCCTGTTTCTTCTGTGGTTATGCATGTGCTGCACAGTTCGTCTACTCCATCTTCATATGCGCATTTCATTCCCATAGGAGTAGATACTACTTTTGATCTTCTCGTAGTCATACCTCTACAATAATAATTTGTCTTTTTAAAACTCTATCTAAGAGTAGCCTTCCTTTTATGATACTGATACACTCCTCGTGTAGTTTTTTTATGTTTTTGTATTTAGATGTCATCTCTTAGATTTTTAGTAGATTTTGATAAAAGATGTTGAAATGTGTGGTTGAAAAGTTGTGAGTTAAAATTAGTTGTTGATTTTGACTTAGATTAAAATCTGAATTTTAATTTCTACCAAACAGGGCTAAATATTGTCTCATTGGTTGGGAAGCTCATTTTATTTGTACAGATAGTTCTTTTGTAAGTTAAAGATAAGTAGAGTAGATAACAAATATAATTGTCATGCCAAAACATAATAAACTATCATTGTTGTTGATATTTCAAATGTTGAATTGGGTTCTTTGATGCGTCATAGGTCAAAAATTCAACCATACTATCATTGTGGCTGATATTTAAAATGTTAATTGTGTCCTTTTATGCATTATAGGTCATGAAATTTGATGATTTAAAGGAACTCGGCAGTGAGGCAGCCGTAAAGGTATTTCTTCAATTTTTCCATTGGCAAAATGTTCATACATGATCAATTAAATGACATTTTTATAATGCTCATCGCCCCATTTGAATCTGTAATTACCAATTTTGGTTCAGTTATATGCTGATAAATTTTTCTTCATGTTGTGTACTCTTCTGGTATCTCTTTCCTAAAATCTAGATAACGAGATTATATTTATTCAAGATGATTTCTTTACACGGAAAAAAGCCCCCGTTATAAGTAGGATGATGAAAGTCCATCAAAACAATTGTTATATGATTATGCGAAATAGTAGATAGGAATATGGTGTCAATACTTGAGTCTGCTTTTCAAGGAGGATGTGTTAATTGTCCGATTCTGGGTATTAGTTAAAAAGACTAGATTGTAACTATTTCCGTGGCTTTTGATCTTTTCTTCCACTCTGATGGTCTCTATTTATATTTTTGTTTCATTTATAGTTTGGAGAACAACATGTTAACTTGTTTGCTTCATCAAATAGGCTGCTGGGAAGTACAAACAGGAGGGGAAGACGTATGTTGTCCAGGACGGAGACATAATATTCTTCAAATTTAACGTCTCTGGGGGCGGGAAGAAGTGAGTCATGCAACTCGGCCAATCTTGACACATTTTTACTCATTGTAAGATTGGATGTGACTCGATCATTGCAATACGCGATTTCTTGAAATTACCTATGTTATGAGGGTTGTACGGACTCTTTGCATTTTCAGAATATCTACCACCATGATATATGCTTTACACTAATGTTGCCTTGATTCGAGTTATTTGGGTAAATTCTTTACTGCAAAGAACTTAAGTAACTACCTACATTATCTTTCCTTTGTACTTTTTCTATTCTTTAACGCAAAGAACTCGAGTAAAATACCCATGACCTTCTACTATCTTTCCTTTGTACTTTTTCTTTGATGATATGATTGGTAAGATGGGTTAGACGGGTGCATTGACTAGAAAATATTTTGTTACGCCCATATTTGTGAATTTTGAGAAAATCAGTTTCTCCAATGAAGGAAATCTTTATTTAAGACCTGCCTTTTTTTTTTTTTTTTTCGGTAAATAATTAATTATATTGATTAANTTTTTGATCGGTAAATAATTAATTATATTGATCAAAACCTGTATACACATACACCAGGCATACCCAGGCGAGAAATCAAACAACAATGGATCAAAGTTCCCAAATACATCAAATACCAGGCATACCCGGCAATAACAAGGATAAATAGTTTATTGTTACATAGTAAGTGTTAAAGACTCATAAAGATTTAAAACATGGGGATACAAAGTAAACATAACTTTGTATATGTGTGTTTTAATCATTTTGACCACGCTAGCAACCTGTGAGTTGAGACCTTCAAAAAATTTTCTATTCCTTGTCGTCCATAAATGGTAGATAGTACTTGTAAGTGCAATTTTCTTAACCTTACTGTGCCATGTCGTTCCCCTAGCTTCTTTAATCATCCACTTCAAGGCAATTGGCTTTGAGGGGGTGCTGTAGGGTATGCATTTAAAAACATGAAAAGCCAAAGCTGCCTTTACAGTTGATTCGCTGCTAGTCCATTATGAAGCATTTGGAAAACAGGGATATTAAAATCAAGA